TTCTACAATTCCAAATATCGTAAAAATAATTTCGCCGCATCCGTATGCAATTTGGTAAATTAAAACTGGAAAATTAGCTGTTTGGTGGCGCAGTGGCTGTTAGTTTTTTACATCTCACACCAGAGTTCGCTTTTATTTGAATATCAAATATTTAACGGTAAATAGGGTTATGGGTAGATTTTTAAGAAAAATTAAAAATTTCTAATTTAAATTAAAGCAATAATATTGAATAGGTTCTAAAGTATAAAATGCAATTCTAATGTTGAAAATTAGAATTAAAATTGACTAAAATTTTTTCGTAGACAATTTGTGTACACCTCAAATATATTTTATTTTTGGCTTTTACGGGCTGGTCTATAGGCTGTCTTCTTAATATTGAATTACATTCTTTTTATTTCTTGACAATTTTTTATAAAACTAAAATTTTTGGACATTATTTTCAAATTTGTATTGCTAAATTTATTTAAGTAAAGATAAAAAATTTTTGGCATTACCTTGAAGTTGTCTTTAATTTTTTAGTTTTGTATAATTAACGTATATCTTCGCCGTTTTATTTTTTATGTACTATGTTCGTCCGTGATTTTCATTAATTGCAATTAAACATGTTTAATAATAATTGCATAATTTTGAGAGTTATGTATAGAAAATTGTAAAAAGTATATATATATGTCCCAATTTGACATTTTTATGAAATTAAATGACTTATACTATTTTGAATTATGGAAGAGGCAGCTTTAACCTCGCATACAATAATTTTGTAAGTATCTTAATTTTGGAAACTTACAAATTACCAGGACACATTATTAAAACACTTAGAAGAGCACATTATCAGAATACTTGTGCATTGCTTTCGATTATCATTTTCGACTACTATAAATCTAGTTTCGAATACCACCCTGTTTGTATAATTTTAAATAACATTATTTTTAAAGAAATATCGTTAAGATAGGCCATACAGGATAGTTATTCATTCTCTCTACATTCTTTTATTTGAAAAATTAAAAACTTTACATAAATCTTCTGCAATATGAGCATACCTCAGTATACCTTTATTTGAATTCATTTGAATGCGGCATTTAATGAAAGCACAATTTATTAAATGTCGTCCCTCTTTTAATAAATTTCCCCGCGAATTTCAATAAAAATTTAGCTTTATCCCTTTTATATAAAAATTTATTTTTTTTTGTTTCATGAATCTTTATTTTTTTTTTTTCGTATTGAAGAAAAAGCTTCAACTATAACGCAAACTTCCACTTCCATAATCAAAGTTATATAAAAAATTTACGAATAAAAAAATTAGTAACTATTTTTGCAATAGATGAATGAAAAATTATATAGAATTATATAGAATCAAGTTAAAAATAAGTTCAGTGAATTTGCTGTAACGTTTTAATTAAAATTTTGTATTTATAAAAGAGGCAGAAATCAAAGACCTAACAATTTTCGTTTCAACTCCTATATTGCTAGTTTTTATTTCATATTTCATTCATATATAGCAAATGTTTTATTTTAATATTCATAATTTCATTATATTTTAATTTTTATTAAATTTTTTTTTTATTAAAAAGTCATTTTTCCACTCTAGCACGCTCTAACTAACCAAAAATTCTGATTAATTTTTTTTTATTATTTTTTTATTTTCCCATTTTCATTCATTTCCTCTTTAATATTAATATTAATATCATTATAGTCCAAATATTTAGCTTATATAATAATAAAAAAAAATCCTTAATCAGAATTAATTTTAAGCGTATAAGCAAGCAAAAGAGGTCTAGCTATATAGCAATATGGTTAAAAAATAAAAATCTTAGAAAAATTTAATTGGTTCTAAGAGCTTTAAAATTAATTTATATTCATTCTATTTTCGAAATAAGTCATTAAATTAATCTGCATCGAAGGACATTTTGAAAACAAAACCAAGCGAAATGAGAAAAAACAAAATTTAAATGAAAATAATGGGAAATGGAATTCTTCAAAATCAAAGGATATAATATAGATTTTCTTAATTAACAAAAAAAAAAAAATTGAAAAAGAGGAGATCAGGACATAGTTAAGTGGGTAAAATGGCCTTTTCAAGGAAGCAAAATACCACAAAATAGAAAAAAAAAAAACAAGAAGAAAATTCTGATTTTTGTATAAGTGGTGATTTTTTTTTTTATCCTTTCTTAACTTTTTAAGTACAAAAATATTAATTAAAGAGAGCAGCGTGAAATTTTTTCTTTTTTCAAATATAAAAATATTTGAGATGAGGGAGAGAAATTAATTTTCAATTTTTGATTAAACACAACATATGAAATGTAATAAAATAGAAATGAAAGGGGGAGGGGGGGAGGGGGTGTGGTGGGAAATCGAGAGGTGGGATAGCGAGAAAAATAAATATTAGGGAGCTTAATGGGAATTAAATGCATTTTTTTATTTTGTTTGTTTTGTTTTAAAAAAAGATATCCGAGAGTATATAGTGTGTAATTAGAGAATAAATTGTGGTGCTTTGGTTTTCTTCAAAAAAATTTCTCTATAATTTTTTTTTGTTTTATAAGGTTTTCAATTAGGAGAATTTAAGGGTTTAAAATTGAGATATCTTAGATAATTAAATAGAAATTATTCCATTTTTTTTTTTTATTCTTTCTAAGTGTTGAAAAATTCAACCACCTATAAAAATTTGGGTGTGAAATATAAGATTTGTTATTCATTAATTTGTTTTTGTTAATTGCGGTGAATAGTGAATGGAATATAATTATTACGATTTAAAATATAAGGATACAGACTGAAACATTTTAAATAAAGGATCAGATAATTTTATTCGTTTTTCTTGTATTGTTTGGAATAATATTACAAATTACATAATTTTATTTTATTCATGGAGTGCAGTTTAGAATTTTATATTAAATAATGTAATTGAAATTTTTAATTAAATCACTTTTATATATAATTAATATTAAATAATAATTACATATTATAGAATTAGGTCTTTTTATTAATTTTATTTGTAATTATTAATAAATAGACCATAATTTTATTTTTAATTAATTGACTCTAAAGTTTAGATTATTTACTTGTATAAGTATGTATGTTAGAAAGAGAAAATATTATAATATGAATTTGAATTCAATTTTAATTAATCAAATTTGTTTCATATATAAAAATTTATAAAGAGTTTTCCAAGAAACAGAAAATTTGCTTATATTACAACTACTATTTGTCCATTATTGTTTTGGTAGGGGGGGGGGGGGGGGAGTTTGGAAAACTTAACAATCTCTTGTTCCATTACAGTTGGCAAATATAATTACAAATAATAATTATGACGTTTTCTATGAAAATGAGGAAAACGAGAAAAACTATCGGAGATTCTTGATAATTTAGTTCTAGCTTCAGTTTTAATATACAGTACGTTCGATAAATCAAATCTGCAAAATCTGTAAAAATAACATGTTTGAAATTGGCAGTAGTGCTTAAAGTTCTATAAATGAATTTTTATAGTTTTTTTTTTTACCTATACTGCAAAAATATTACATAAATTAGAAAATCAGCATAATAGAAAAATGCCTCCTTAAGCATTAAGTGGAAACATGCGGCAATCTAATTAATGGTTTTCAATATTATATGTATAGAGCTGTCGAGGTATTGACAAGAAGACTATTTTAGACTATGTTGCTATTATTTCCGATTGGCTATATATAAAAGCGACCAAAATTCTGTTATTGGGTTGAGGTGACTCTCATTGACGTTAGAAATAACTGATTTGAATAATACAGATGAAGTCGTTATAACAACCAGATAAATAAGCCAAGTAAACTCTTGTCGGTCAAGAGCTCATTTTCGCGAATTAAGCTATATTTGAAAAGTTGATCAGGCCGTGTTCAATAACAGATCAATTCCAAATTAAAATACGAAAAAAAAATTTCAAATATCTTATGTTTATTATTTTTAATCTTATATAAGGAACAACAAATAATTTCAGAATAATATTTTTTTTTTGTAATTTTATCTTTTTTTTTTTTTGATTAAATTTAATTTAAAAACACATTTCTCATTTTTTTGTTTTTTTTTTTTTTTCAAAAGAAAATTTCTATTTTCCTTTCATCTACAATTTTAAATAATTAATTAATTATTTTTTTATATTTTCTTTGAGAAAATATTTTACAAATCTAAAATCGAAAATAATTTAAGAAATTTTTTTTGTTTTTTTTTTTAAATATCATAAAAATTGCACAAAACAAGAAACAATGTTTAATTTTTTTTTCTTTATTTGTAAAATAAGGGAACAAATTGATTTTTATTTTGATAACTACCATAATTAATTAATTATAATTTTTAATCTATATTATTAAATTTAAAATTTAAAAATGTTTTCTCTATGTATGTATATATATATATATATATATATATATATATATATATATATATAGTTTAATTGAATTTAATTAAATGTCTTATAATAATAATTAATTAATTTTATTACATAATTTTATAATTTATGAATTAGAGAATGTTGAAAGTAGAGAAAAGTAATTCAAATTTTCAATAATTAGGAATTTTAATTGAATGGGTTTGAGTCTTTGATAAATTAATGATGAAATTTGATTTTCAGTTGTGTAGAATTGACAATAGTTGTGTGAAAACTCACTGAATTTCTTGAAATAAATTTATTTCACATTAAAAAAAAAAAGATTGAATAACGAGTTTTATTCAGTTCATTGTTGTTGGAATTAAATGTAGGGTAATATTTTGTTACAATTCTTGTTACAGGATACAAAAAAGTAGTAAATTTTAGTTTGTTTGTAGTGACAATTGTATTTGAGCAAATTATATTTACAAAACGTAGATGTAAGCAGTGCAAAACGTATCTTCCAGTACAGAGCTTCACTGTAACAGTGGAGTTGCATGGACTGTTGTTGTTAATAGCCGATATTAAATTTGTATTAAAAATCAGTAGTGCCAACTAACTGGTACTGGTACGAAATATGTTTTTAAGAAACATAAAAAGTAATTAGATGTTTAACAATTAACAAAATATAGCAATAAATGCGATTAAATTTATCAGGTGACGTTATACGACGGTAAAACTTAAATAACACTCAATTGAATTTAGCAATTAAATTGTGAAAGTGCTTTTAGTAACTATAATATTGTATGTTTCAAATCATGAACTAAAATTCCATTAGATATGCTAAGATGAACTCAATTCCTGCCAAACTAAAATTTCTATTAGAAAACGCAGTTTTAATACAAACCGAAAAGCGGCAAACCGACTAAACTTGAAAAAGCGGCAACACTTTGCGTTGAAATTTTTATTGTTAATAGGTGAGTCAATAATTAAATATAGTGACTGAGGTAATGTTTATATGAATATTAAGTAAAGAAAAAGAGATAAAATGAAGAAGAAGAAAGGTTCCTAATTTTACAATTATTAAATTTTCCTTCTATTTTATTTTAAAATGATTTTCTTACTTTAATTTTACGTATATATATAAGTATATATATATATATATAATATCTGAATTCGCTTCATTTATATTTATTTATATATATCTGTCTCTTTCTTAAATTATATAATATGTAATACTTAATTGATATAATAAAAATCTTAAAGTGCATTTTTATTATTATTTTTTTTTGTCATTTAATTAATTTACGATTTTCTTCTTAAATATCTCATTTTCATTTTTATAATAATAATAATTTTAAAATTCTTATTTAAAAATGTTTCCCTGGTCAAAATATAACTGTTAATGGACGGCGAAAATCTCCACCTCCACTAGCAGCAACTTGTGCCTGTGCAGCTGCTGAATATTGTGCTGTATAACTGCTATAATCAATTTGATTGCTATCATTTGATGAACTTAAATGTTTATTATCACCGTTATCTAATTGTGGTGTTGCTTCACGATCATCACCAATATTATTATTATTATTATTGGGTCCATTATTATTTCCACCACTATTACCACCACTACCGCTACTACTACTGAGACCATTTAATAAATGATGTTGTTGTAATGATCCGGATGATGTTGATTGTTGTAAACTACCAGACATACCACCCGAAGAACCGGATGCCGTTGATGATGATGCAACAGCAGCAGCTGATGATGATGCTGAACTACCATAAATTTTTGATATATCGAGTGCATAATTAGCTGCACGATCTTGATACATTTTTGAATCAAAATATGCTTTTGTTAAAACAGTCGGATCCAAATAAGCACTATAGGCACTTGCTTGTGCTGCTTTCGATGTATCATATAAACTACCAGCTGCTGCTGCTGAACTTAAATAAGCAGAACTACGATCTAAACCAAATTTTGAAACATCCATTTGACTCTGTATAAAGAGAAAAAAAAAAATTTGAGAAATTATCGAAGAGTTTATTTTCATTAAATTTTAGTTTTACATATAAGATAAAGGAGAGAAAAAATAATTTACGTAATTTTTTAAGATCGTTATTTTATTACCGCAGATTTTGTCTGTCGGAAATTATATGATAAATAGTATTTTTGAGCGAAAGATTCAAATTTTGTTTAAAATGAGTTCAAATTTGTGATAGATTCGCAGGGCGCCTGAAAGAATTCGGGCCTCAGGTGTGAAGGGTTAGCATAGAGCTACCTACAAAGTCGGACAGGAACATTAATTTCAATTATGGTGTTTGTTGCCGGATAAGTAAAACTTGTATTTCAGACCTGATCTATGTAGGACCGAATTAGTCCTACAGAACTATTATACAGATTTATTATTCATTATCATATTATTACAGTCGAAATCGCATACTGGACTCCTGATGATATAAAAACCCGGTTATGTGCAATAACTTTTTTTTGGTTTTACACTTACTTTTTCTTAAATCTGTTTCCAAACCTTTGCGATCAACGTTCGAATTTAGACTTAAATTATATGAAAACTCTGAAGTGAATACGATTAATAGTTAGATAATAGGAAATGTGAAAATATATTCACGAACTCATAAATTAAATTTATCTCCAAGTGAATAAGGGTTACGATTGGAAAATCACAGAACATAATTACAAATCTTATATACAATAAAATCGAAATAATACAACAATTCACCTTTCACTGCAGTTGTCAATATTAATAAAATGTTGCCATTGTTATGAAAGAGAAAGATTTGACATCTCATAATTTGACATTAACCAGGTTCCAGTAGTTAACTAATTACAATGTCATAAATAAAGCCTCATAGCTATTATGTGATTTTAATAACCGATTGAGTGATAAAGAGATAAAAGAGACAATCATTCTCATTTCACTCAAATAATTTTCACTGACCTGCAAACTAATGTTTTTCTTGCTATGAACACAAAAAAAACTTGAAACAACAAAATTTTCGATATTTTTTAGATAAAATAAAAGTTTTTCATTTCTCCACATACAAAAGACAATTATTTGGCGTCAAATCTTTTGTTATTTTGAAGTGCTTGTAATTTTCATATACACAAACGGTTTTACGATCTTTTGGACTAAAATTCATTTTAGTATTTTTTAATAGGTTTGGTTACATCATTTCATAAATGAACATTCATTCAAACAGGTGCAATAATTCACCTTTTCTCTTCAATATCTAGCAATTTTCTCATATAATTAAAGAAAAACAAAACTAAAAAAAAACTAACCTCAAAGTTTTTAATATGAAAAACAAATCACCTGTATAATTTTTTTTTCTTTTTTTTTTTAAAATATTATTTTCAATTATTTACCTACCAATTATTAATTGCATTGTCATCTTTAATAATGAGACACATTGGTCTTTTCAACTGACCCTGTGCACATACATACTAACTACATTCATTTAATATTATAAAGAAAGCAGAAATTCAACGGTCGTCAGCATTGGTTGGCAATTGATTACTGTTGTAAAGGAAAAAAAAAATGCTTTGTATAACACAAATTATTACCAAAGAACCGGTACACAGAAAATTAACAATAAAAACAATAATAATAAAAGTAAGTGTTGATGATGACTAAAGAAAGATTAAAAGTAATCAAAAATTATGCTACCGCACCGTCCCAATGATTAAGAAATCATCATCAAATATCAAAGATCAAAATCATCGCATATTGTACATTCCAAAAAAAATTTATTTTAAAATTTATTATCAAAGGATTTCAAATATTTGAAGAAACTGTAGAGATTTTCCAGGCTTTCGGATGTTATCTATGAAACCTTGACAAATTGAGATATTCATCACTATCCGGTCAAATTGTAATAAACAAAGGAACTTTCTACTCACTTATCACGAGATCTGATGCGATTTTTTTTTTTTAAATTTGATTGACTAGAAGGAATCAATTTTTGATTATTGGTGAAAATCATGTCCATGCATATTGTTCTTATTAAAAATGCATTAAAATAAACGATTTTGTTTACAGGGTGTGCTAAAATTTAGTATACATTCTGTTAATTTTAAACGGAACTAATATAAAGAGAATCTTCACACTTCTCTCCTGTGGTCATTTTTCATTTCTATCCTGTGATCATTACAACCTTTTCTATCCTGTGATAATTTAGTCACCCCAGATGTTGTGTTCAATATCTCTAGTGGATGCAATTATCATGTCCCAAGTGTTGAGATTTTTGAAGAATCCGAGACAACCTTAAAACTTGTGTCTGTGGTGAAAAATGCAATAGAGCAAATCAGCCGCAATAAAATTGGAATTTAGATACAAGTCGTCATAAAACTGATATGCAACCTACAATTTAGAATGGAGAAAATTTTTCGTATTTAAAAAAATTGAAATTATTCTTCCTTGTTAAACACAAAATGATAATGAATTCTATGGTTACAGAACATATATAGAACAGTGTCTAAGTTGAGTTTGATTTATTTGCTATTCGAATTCGTAACAATTTTGTCTGTGTATACTCCGATTAATTCCAAAATAATTCCAATACTGGGTCGATTTATGAAGGAAAAATTAAATGTTACACTCTGTGTGTGTAGCTAAATAAAATAAATTTGTTTAAATATTCTCGTTTCCCTGTTTTATATATAATAAAGACTTAAGTGTAAATATATAATTATATTGCCTGATTTGATAAGCATTTAACCGCCCCATTAAATTGAATAAGAACGAAATAATTAAAGTGGTCTTTCTTATAGTTCTACAATATACCTATGTATGTACTGTAGAGGAAGAATATATTTAAGAAAACACAACAAAAATAAAAATCAGAAAAATAATAAAAACATAGCAATCATATTGAGGATTTGTGGAATGAAAAAATGATTTTTACACACCTTCACGCCTTCCTTCAATGAAGCGAAAAGAATGATGACCCAGGAATTTCATTGCTTCAATAATAATTGAGTTTCCGTTTTCACTTTTACCATACACGTACTGCTATTTTCATTGTATTATTCTTTAGGCATTCAAATATTATTGTTTATGCATGAATTGGAAACAAAACAAAATCCAAACTTGATAAGGTAGTGACATCCTTAATTATATAGATTGATTGAGATGTTCATAAGTTTTTTAAACGGAACTGTTTTATTTTTATTCTTTATAAATGCAATTTGAATATTGAATTTATTATTTGAAAGGAATGTGTGTGTTTAAGTAGAAGGTGTTTTTTTATATTTAAAAATAAAAGGTGGAATTTGGGGCGAATTTTTTTATTAATAAATTCATTTATAAAATATACAAAAATATTAATAATAAAAATTGAAAATCATGAATCATTTTAGTTTCCAAGTTATTATAAACAATTTGTAATGAATTCTTTTGTATATTGAATTGAACAGCAAATATTTGAGTATGTAGATAATTGTAAACTGGTTATGTATTTTTCATTTTACGTTTGCGCGTGGGCGACGCTTGCAAACCAAGTGCTCTTTAACAGGTGTAAGGAAATATATGTAGTATAGTTTTGAACAAAATGGAATGTGATTATGCAAAATTTTTGTTCAATATTTTATAGGTTTTTTATACTGTATGTAGGGATAAAGTTTAAAAAATTAGTTCAAAATTATTATTTTACCCGACACAATTTACGAAAGGAATAATCGTAATAGCTGCCCACTTCTTAGAGATTATTTCATATAAATGTTAGTAAGGTACAGCTACGCTCTAGACTATAGATAGTCAATTCGAAGTGCAAAATTTTATGTCATCTTTTTACATATTTCGGTCAGATTATTGCCAATAGTATGTTCAATATTGTTTTCTAAGGATTGGATTATTGCTATACACAAGAGTTATCCCAAAGAAACTAATCAAAAGCTAACAAATTGAAAGAATCCGGCTGTCAATTAAAAGCTCAAAATATATAAGCAATTGCTCGCCGAATCTCTTGCATAGACCTCCCTCTCTTTTAGATCTTAATACTGATTTCGATCTAAGACACAAGCAAAGTGCAAATAAAAATTAAAGAATTCTTCATTTATTTCCAGTAACTATGTTAATTGGTTGTAAATTCTTTGAGAACTTTTAGTTAAAAAATAAGAAAGACTTAGAAGACACTCATTAATGTGTGGCTCTTGTATTCCACAACATATTGCATTCAAATCTAGATGGTAGTCAATTATAATTAAATTTATAATTGCACGTACTGAAGGTTCTATTTAAGAGTAATTTGAAAACATTTTGCAATAGTTGCTATAAACACAGAAACTTATGGTATCTGTCATGATTAAAATTTTGAGCTCACTTAGAACTAAAGTAGAACTAAAGATTTACAATATTAGAGAACTAGAAAAGTTTAACTCTCAAACTTTCATTTTAATTCACTCAAATCTCTAATAAAAATTTATGAAAATCATTAAATTAAATTATTCCGGTTTACTAATAGAATAATAGGGATGTTGAGTCACATATGTTTATCTATAATTATTATTACAAAATGTTTGGACATTCACTTACACTTAAAAATATTAGAAATCATCACAAATTTCTTTTTTTTATTAATCCATCATCATCCGCTTTAAATTGTTGTTATTTTTTGAGTTAAATCTAGTGAAATTATTTTAACCTTTATAGTTAAATCTTCTTATAATTTACAATCTTTTACATCCTATAATTATAAAAAATATAAATGTTTATCCTTTTGGGATTAAAAACAAAAAAGTAAAAAAGGGATCCAATTAAAAAATATTTTTAGAAGAGCGTGAAAGGGTTTCTTGTTTTTTGGTTGTTACGCCCGTAGTATGCTATTATAAAGGGTAAGCAAAACGATAAAATCTAAAGAAGGAAAATAAAATAAAAACAAAATTAGAAGTGCTACTGTTTATTATGAAGTTGTTGTATTACTCGGGGTATCTGTAATTTACCCAGATAGGGTAGATCAAAATTCTTGGTTAATTTTAATTATTTTTAATTGAATTGACTTTTTTTAATGATTAGGTTACCTAATAGAAACTGGAATATCATCCATAATATAGGTATCTGTCGTACATACTCTAAATATGGATAGTGTGGAGTAAACATACATATTGTTGCTGTTCTCATAAAATTAAATTTTAGAGGAACTGAAAATTTTGAAGGTACTAGTTGAATTGAATTATTATCAAGATTAAATTTATCTTAAAGTATGTTACAGAAGTATGTTATGAGATTGAGGTTCTATTCCGGAATATTTTAAAAACATTTAGACTTCAATCAATTGATATTTTGTCAATAACATTTAATTAAATCAAATCTTCAAATTTTGAATTTGATTAAAAAAAATGTTGTTAACCATTTCTTTAATTTCAGCTAAAGGTGCTCGCAGATGGCCTACTAAGTAACACAAAAAGTTTTGTATCAAGATTCTACAACTGAAATGTCATTGAAAATTAGTGTTGACGCCAAACAAATTTGTTGTGAATTATTATGTTCTCTTACACTTATTACTTGCTACTTTACTCAATGCTTTTAATTGTTCCGCTTCAATTAGGCAACCTAGATATTAATGATTAAATATTGATGTATCTGCAGATGGATTGGTGCTAGTTTATTTTGTGAGTGATTCTAATGTAATGGAAAATAAAATTCTGACATTTAAATGTCATATAACATAATTAACCAATATAAACTGACAATAAATGTAGTAAAGATAAACTGCATATAGGAATGAAAAACTGCACAGTTTAACAGAGCTTTAGTAAAAAAAGTGAACCTCCACAACTACCCTGGACGAACTGTTGATAGTGAATTAAATGGGAGTATATATACATTTTATATACATTAAAGCAGGGTAGTCACCTACTACGGCAGGCTAGTCACCTTCTACGACAGGCTAGTCACTTACCTAGTTAAACTCTATGACGCAATGAAACTGGAGTCTAGCTCTATGCTCCTCATAGGAGTGAAAAAATGAAAAAAAAAAATGTATACATTTCGGTAAAGTATAAAAAAAATGTCGAAGAATAGGCATGTAGGTATCTTAAAAAAAAACGGCGAATTATTTACTTTATATAACAACCTAAAACGAACAATCTACGATAGCCTTTTTATTTAAATATAATCTTTGGGCTCCTAATATACTGAATCAAGTCAAAACCTAAGAAAAAAACAGACACTGCAAAATAAAGTAATAAAAAATTTATACCAACTCTACATAAGAACACAAAATTAACAAATAAATTAACACAAGTTAACAAGAACGTTGTAGCTACGTAGAACGAGAAATGCAAATTCCTACAGGAATTTAGAACTGGGTGCTAGCAATGTATTTTATTATGCGAGTCAACATTATAATGAATTATTAGAAATTCTTGATAATTTTGATAATAACAAATTCAAAAACATTATTAAAAGTCACATTATATCACAACATACCGTTAACATACATGATACTCTTTTTATGAAAGACTCGCTAATTTAGAATATACTGTTTAAGTGTTTTAGTATTTTAGATTAAGTTTCATTTTGTTGTACTTTTCAAAATAAAAAATTTTGACAAAAGAGAGAAAATAAATTTGACAGAAAAGATGTTACCAGATTTTTTCGTTCTGTCAATTTGTTAAGTGCCGCCATTCACTACGGAATTCGAATAAAGGCAGTTATACTTCTGAGAATAAATTATTGGTTTATAAGTTGTTCGTTGTTAGTTCAATATGTTCGTCAAATATTGAATTTCCATTGAAAATATTATGAAAAGATTTCTAACGTCAATAACAACATTTATTTCATTAGTTTTGCCTATTATAAAAAATTAATTGTCTTAGGTTTCTGAATCTACTGATTTGGTGTTTTGTTTTAATTTTTTATTTTTTTTTAATTCGATAACCTTCGTGTCAAGATATTGGAAATCTCTCTATTCTATTGAATTTTGTTCTCTTTTACAAATAATTACTTGAACTTTTTTTTAGAAAATTTTTAGAATAATTTAATGAAGCATACTGCATGTGCATATGGTATGTCATGCAGAATTGCATTCAATATTTATGCTATATGACGTTACAAGCATATATTCTTTGATATATGCAACTGAAAATTAAAAATTCTTATACTTAATAACTTTTTAATTTAAAATTAGAAATTAATCAACCGTATATTACAACACTTTCTATTGTAGTATTGAATTACCTGTGAAGTTGTTGGACTCGTTTGTGATAGATGACTTCCTAAATGATATGCTGCAGCTGGTCCTGGTGCAAAATAACCTGGTGTAATGCCTATTAAATAAAAACAAATTATAAATAATTGTAATTGTAAGTATATTGTAATAAATAAATAAAAAAAAAACAAGAAGAAGAAGAAGAACACTTAATTTCAATTTTAAAAGTTTTTGTATTTTTTAAAAAAAAAAAGTACTTTTAGATTTTTTGTTTAACATGTTGGAATGAAAACATTTTTACACATCAGTTACAACCTTCAATTTCGCGCTGTTTCAATTTAAAATTACATATTATGTTGTGTACCAATTTACAATTGAAAATCAAGAAGAGGAAAATAGTGGCGTTTTGTACTTTTCTTTAAAACAAGAAAAACTTTTTTTTTTTCGCTATTATTAGATTTTTAAATGAAAATTATGAAAAAAAAGCGGATTTCCATTGCCCATCCCCCGCCATTACTCTTTTTAAAAACTCATCAAATTGCACACATATGCGATGTAAAATTGAGAAATTTGCCTTTTCAGAAATTCGCCTTTCATATACACATATTGTATGTAGGTAGGTACCTTTTACTTTTTGTTCAAACAAAAACTTTTATTTCTTTTATGAATTTTACAAAAAAGAGAACAATTATTTGAAATAATAATGATTATTTGAATATGAAAGGGTCAAGCAAAAAAAGGTACACCATGGCTAAAAAAAAATGTTTGTGCACCTAAACCTGAGGCGTTTTATTATCATAGGTCACGAATAATACAATATTGAGGAGGTGTTGTTTTGGAGTTTTTTACACTGTATTCTAAATACTCGTAATGTTGCAAACAAATTTTCTCAAGCCGAAATCCCATTTTAAGTTGCTTGATGTTTAATCTGCACCTCAGGAATATAGGACTATTATTTACTTATTAAGATTGTTGGGTGTTTTAGTGCAATATATTGAGTTGTGCAGCCCGTTTTACTAGTCGTTGACTAAAACATTAGTTTTGAGTTAATTTGGTCTATAATATTTGGGGTGGTGTTTATTTTGGAGTTGTGAGTGGTGACCTAAATTTAATCACATTAGGATTGTCCAAATTGCATCAGATTTTTGTTCGATTTCTACTTTGAATACTGATATTAAGGCTTGGCTATCACAAATTCGAAGTTTGATTCTAAAAGATTTATCATATTTGAGCGTATAATTTATTTTTCAACACTGTACTCGTATTAGAATTATGTCCTTAGTATTCTTATATAAGAGCAGTTAAATAACTGCAATAACACTTTATGGAATATTACATATAGCGGTATAGAGTACATAAATTACTAATAATAAGTAAAAGTTTTTAGTGTGTTGTACATCGTATATAATAACATGAAAAGAGTTAAGAGAATGAAAAGAACAATAGTAATCAAGGAGAGAAAAAAGTTTAGAAATAGAAATTAAAAAAAATTCAAATGAAAATTAGAAAAAAAAATTTTTTTTTTTTCTAAAAGATTTTAACAAAAAGTTTACGTTGTTAATTTAACAATCCATCATTGTTGACTTATAGCGTAAATGAGAATAACGTTAAGGTAAGAATAATAAATGAGTAAAAATTATTTATTACATATGAATGTGTGTATGTACATATATGTAAAAATAAAGTTGAAATTAGTACTCGTATATGATGAATTTCAAGCATTTTTTTTCTATGATACTTACATATATAAATTTTGTAACTTAAAACTAAAATGTTTTAAGTGTTTAATTTAAGTTCATGGAAAATCGCCAATACAAGACGTTATTTTACATTTCATGGTTTCCTGCGTGAGATGAAAGTGAGCGTGTTTTATTTTTCTTTCTATAGGGGCGTTTAAAGTCATCGACAGACAAAGATAGACAGTCTCAAATCGTCGTCAGACCTTTGAATAGCGAAAAATTTTAGCCAAACCAAAAACGCACCTGTTCTGGTCATATCTTCCTAAAACTAGTAAAACTAACTAACCATTACTTTTACTGTATTGTGTTTTTGTGTCTATGTTCCCTACGAAGGAAGGCACGGAAATACCGTATTATCACTTTAGATAAATAAATTGAGAGGTTTCGTTTGTTTCAGTCTTTTCGTCCTAACTTTCTCCTCTATATGTAGAGGAGGTTCAATATTGATATGCCTCTTCAAATGTACTCTTTGTTTCACGGCACAGGTTCTTTATTTCTTCACATTGCGTTCGCGTCCATACCAGGAAATACCCATCATATTACGAAGCATCTGGTTCTGGAAAGTTTGTATTTGTTTGATATATATTTTTGCTTGGCAGAGCCCCATAGCTGTACGTGTCCATATAGAGAAAAATTTTTACTGCGAAATTTAATTGATCAGTGGCCTATGATGTGTGATACAGAGTAGGAGTGATAATATTTAAAATAGGGATTTTAGTCTACTGCAGTTAAAATATAAATTACAAACGGAGTGATGCTAATAGTGTTAAAATTTTTGTTATGTAATTCTTTTATTTTATCTGGATTTTGAATTAATATACTTTTGAAGAGAATATGATATTCAAATCAATATTACTTAAAAATTTTCCAAAAGATTTTTCTCAAGTCTTGTCAGGAAACACTATCTTGCCAAAGTAGAACCGGAACACCTGCGCTTTATTATCATTTTAATCAATAAACTTTTCAGATTTCCTGACAAGTCGACTTAAAACATTTTAGTTTATGGGTAGAAACGAAATAAATTTTTTATTATTTTAATAAATTCCTTTATAATGTTTTTGAAAAACAAAAAATTAAGAGTAGAAATAGAAAAGTTTTATGTAAAAAAATGATCATTAAAAGTATAATGGCATAAATAAGAAAGAAAGAAAGAAAGAGAAATAGGAACTATGCAGTTATAGGTTCAAGCAATAAATTGTAATACGATGGTGATCGCAATATTCTAAATAATATTTTTGTGTTATAAATAAAGTTATGGAGATTGCATTATATATGGTATTTTGTTTTACAATCAATTTTACAATCAATATAATATTCACAATAGCATTTTTGTACTTATTTCACTCGCTTTTATTTAGCTATACATTAAGCAATTGTGCAAGCAACCTTCCATAATTCCACAAAGGAAGTCCTTTACTCTATAATATAATACTATTTTATAGTTTATGGTTAAGTGCTCTATAGTTTATTAAAGAGCCTAGTTTTGTTTTAATTTTAAAATTTTGTATTTAATAAGCATAAAAAATTAACAAGAGGGCCTTTTTTAAGTATATAAAGTTAATTATAAAAAATTATAAAAAATTTAATTTTTGACGTTATTAAAAGAGATCAGAAAATACAAATAAAAGAATAAAATTGAAATCAAATGTTTGTTCAGGTTTTTTAGTTGAAAAGTTTTGTAATAATAATTATTTTTTAACTTTTTCTAATTTTTCAAGATAATAAACCGAGAGTTCGCCAGTTAATTCAAAATCGAAATTACATAACAATTAATAGAAAAGGATTAACGTTTTTGTTAGGAAATTTTAAAGCAAAATTTGAAAAATGAACCCTTTTCAGTTCTTAAATTGAAAAAGTGAATGATAAAATATGAGTAAGCTAACGGTACTGTAGTAAAGTACGTAAGTATTCTTTGTAATTTAATAACTAGTAATAACTATGTTCTTCCAAAATAGTTGGTGACGTATTTCTGGTGTGGCACTGTGGGGTTCAGACTAAACCCGAGCAAAACAACCTTGGTGTTCTTCACTAGGAGAAGAAATCTGAAGCGTCTGCGTACGATTCGAATATGAAGAGAAACAGTAGAAAGGAAAACGGAAATGAAATACTTAGGTGTGATATGGTTCGGGTTAAAGGAAAGAAATCCTCTCAGGGTGCTGGCGGCAGGGCAGGACAATATAAAAAACCAATGTCCACCTGGCACCTGGGACGGCAAAAGAGGCTGTGGCAGGGCAGGCGCCCACCAAGATGCGTAAAAAGGTGGCAATGAGAAGCAAGGCTTATGTAAAGCTTTTGTCTAAAGGGCCAAAACCCATAGACAAGAGCCGAAGGAAATGATATGGCTGTGAAGTGCATCCAAATAAATCTACAGCATGCTAGGGCATCTACTGATGTTCTAGCTCATAGATTTATGAAGGATCACCTCGATATCGCCCTTATCCAAAAGCCGTACATAGTTAAGGATCAGGTTAAGAGCCTAACAGGAGAGCTATTGTATGATAATAGACTTGGAGGCAGGCCTAGGGCTTGCATTTTGTTTAGAAAAAGGCTAACGTATTTTCCCATTCCAGATTACTGTTCTAAGGATCAGGTAGCTGCGTTGGTGAAGGTGAAGTCTTCTGGGGATTGGACAGAGTTTATTGTATGCTAATCCTACCTCCCGGGAGACTGTGCCCACCCGGACGAGCAATTGAAAGATCTAGTGGACTTTTGAGGAACTTTCAACTGATAATAGGAAGTGATGCCAATGCCCAACACACCGTCTGGGAAAGCAGTAATATAAACAAAAGAGGTGAGTGCCTACTTTAATTTATATATAGCAATAAATTAATGGTTATGAATGAGGGCAAAAGGCCGACACTCATAAATGCAATTAGGGAAGAGGTCCTTGACATCACCCTTTACACTGAGTTTATTGGCAGAAGGGTTAGTGGATGGCATGTCTCAAATGAGACATCCATGTCCGATCATAGCCAGATTAGGTTTGATATCATGGTCTCCAATCCACAGATTGGAGTCAATTCGAAACACTCCTCATGGATGGGATTGGATCCATTCCTGCTTCTGTCAGAACGGTGATGGATATCGAACTGGCCAGCGAGGCTCTGACGGCGGCTATTACTAGTGCCTACCATGGGAGCTGCTGCACTAAGCCGAGGCGGAGCAATAGGAAGTGCCCGTGGTGGAATGAAGAGCTTTCAAGGCTTAGACTAAAGACCAGAAAGCTATTCAATAACGCCAAGGCGTCGGGTTCGTGGGAAGAGTATAAAAACTCACTTACAAAATACAATAAAGAAATTAGGATAGCGAAGAAAATTTCGTGGAGGGCGTTCTGCAAGAGCATTGATGAACTCTCCAGCAGTGCGCGTCTTCACAGGGTGCTTTCCAAAAAGTATGCTAGCGGGTTGGCCCTAATGGAACGGCCTGATGGCTCCATGACTGAGAACGGAAAGCAGAAGTTGGAGCTTATGCCGTCAACGCACTTTCCTCACTCGGAGATTCTTCGGAATCACTCAAATACGGTTATTGAACCGAGGGCATTCTGACCCAGGATAATGACTGGCAACGATCCCGTCCGGTCTTGCCGATGGGCAGGATTAGATGGGCTGTTTTCTTTTTCAGGCCCCTCAAATCTCCAGGTGATGACGGGATATATCCTGCATTTTTGCAGAGGGGTTTCCAACACATCGCTAGAGCACAGTTGGAAATTTTTCGTACCAGCTAGGCGTGGGGTTACATCTCTTAGGCATGGAGGGTGGCTAAAGTGACGTGTGTTTCGAAGGCGGGTAAGCGACCAAGCAACCACCCAAGGTCTTTCCGTCCCATCAGCCTTACTTCTTTTCTATTGAAAGCAATGGAAAAAGTGATTCATAGATTTATATGGGACGATGCACTGGGAGCAATCCTTTGCATGAGTCTATCAGTACGCCTATCAGTCGGGAAGGTCTACTGTACTCGCTCTGCAGAATCTGGTGAGGGTCCTTGAAAACTTACTGGAAGTGCGGGAGGTGGCAGTTGATATAGAGGGAGCTTTCGACAACACCCCGTTGACGATACACTCTTCATCTCCGCTGCAAAAGGATGTCCGCAGGGCGGGGTTCTTTCGCCGCTCCTGTGGTCCATTGTAGTGGATGATCTAATCGCTGCTCTCAGGGGCTCCGGGGCACGTGTCTGGGGATACGCCGACGATGTGGCCTTCATCGTACGGGGAAAATTTGAAAGCACTATTTCTGATCTTCTACAGCAAAATTTACGTGTTGTGGAAAGGTGGTGCTAAGGCGTTGTGTTAAATACAAATCCAAGCAAGAGCACTTTCGTTATCGAGAAGGCTACGACGGCCTTGTGGATGTGTAGGAGCTTCATCGTGGGGACCTGGGGAATCAGTCCCATAATATTACTGTGACTATATACGGCCCTTGCTAGGCCCATCGTCACCTACGCGTCAACGAAATTGCCGACTGGCTGGCGCGGAGGGGATCTGGGGCTGACTTTGTGCAGCCGCTGCCTTTCTGTGATCAGCCTTCTTCCGGCCTTGGGGCCAGGCTTGCCTTCCTGCTCGCGGCGGAATGCGGCCGTCACTGGCGGGACACGAAAGGGTGCCGTCATGCAAAGGTGTTTCTTTCGGCGCGCTCCAGCGGATTCACCGCAGAGTTGCTGGGGATGAGCAGGAGCCAGATTCGCACTATTGCGAATTTTTTCACGGGGCACTGCCCAGTGAAGTATCACCAGGATAGGCTGGGGAAGTCGCGCTTCCCCCTACAATAAGCCAAGAATTGCTGCGATGACTTGGGATGCTACTCCTGTCCCAGTGGGATTGTCTCACTAGTGACGACTTCTTGCACTGCCTAGGGCATAGTTACGAGATCTATGTAGTTTCGAGAAGAATTTCACCTCTTTACTAAGCGACAGTATAGGAACTGGTGTGGTGAGTTCGTGGATTAGTCGCTTGAGTCACACGCTATTGTATGGCACACGGATGAGTCAAAAACCTGAGGGACGGGTGCGCGAGTATTTAAGCAGAGAACCAAATTCTTCCACTATATGGGAACGTACCCCTGTGTCTTTCAGGCGGAGATGCACGCCGTTGACATGTACGTGAAGTTTACCTTAAAAGATGATATTGGGAATAGTAGATTCTGTTCACATTAAACAATTGGGCTGCCATCGCAGCGCTGAATTCATTTTCAGTATCCTTCGGGGCAGTATGGGATTTGTCTTGAAAGACTCAATGAATTGGGTAGGTGCAGCCGGATTACACCGGGAAATCAGAAGGCCAATGCGTTAGTGAGAGGGAGCTTACACAACTTTTTTAGGCTCGTAGTACGAACCATTTCACGATTCGTGAAGAATTAAGAAAGGAAATGGAGAGGTGGCATTTAATGGTTATATTGTCTATTCTCATGTTAATCGTATCATTATTTACTTATACGTATATCGTTTTAAAATATAGTTTAAGAACTTTGTTTAATCGCAGATAGTCCTTGTTTACAATCGAATAGCCTTATATATGTAGGTTTCACAGAATCGATCATAATATACATATATATAGTTTGTGTTTCTGAGATAAGAAATTTTTCATTCTTATTTAAATTGGCTATGTATATGTAAATGTAGCAATTATTAAAAATATTTCTTGATTTAAATTAAGCAAAAATTTGTACAAAATACTGAAATTTAAAATAAACATTATATTATTGTTTATACTAAAATATTATTTAATAATTTAAAAAAAAAATAATTATACAAATGAATTCGTTATTCCTTAACAAGGCCCCATTATTTATAATATTTTGTGTTCTTTTACTCGTATATATGAAAAATGTAATTTTCTTACAACTTTTTGTTATACGTTATTTAACTTAAAGTATTTTTTCTATTGTAAAATAGAAATTATGAATACTAATTAGTGAATAGCAGAATTCTTGACAATTTTTTTCTTGTTCCTTTCAGCTCACGCAATGTTACATAAGAAGCAGGAACGAACATTCATTTTATAATATTTTTCATATTTACTTTGCACAGAAAACCTTTTTTCATATTTTTTTTGTTTTTAGTCCTTTTTTCCCTTTTCTTTCTCATTTATTATTTACGATTTTTTTTTGTTTATTTTGTTTTTTACATAATTTTCTCCAACAATAAAAAATTTATTAGTTGTTTTACATTATTATATAACTTTCTTATGTTTTTTACAATACAAAGTTGGGGGGGGGGGAAACAATACTGTTATTGTGAACATTGTCATAAAATATAAAATATATGCACGTACATATGTATATGTAAAATAATATTCTCCGCCTTCTCCCATTACTTTTGCTATAAATTAGTTGAATTTTATATTTTTATTTTGGAACGTTATCATAAAAAAAGGGGGAAATAGAATTTTCATGTTAAGTATGATGTTGCGGTTAATGTTAAATTTTTATTTAACATTATATAGAGGTGGGTTGGTAAAAATGATAGTGCGGCACTCCGCAAGTATAATATATTGCATGATTAATGATATTTTAAGGACTAAAATAGAAAGAAGTGAAAGTATAGGAAAATTGGGAAGGATTTCTATTATTTTTTTTTATTTATTTTGTTCTTGCATAATTAAATTTTAAGCTAGAGCTCCAATGGTACTTGGCTTCGATTGTTATGGAGTGAAGTTTTGAATAATTTTGGCTTTCACATTTCTTAAACGTTTTCTGAAACGTTTTCTTTATTTTTTTTTTCTACTACACATTCTCAACTTCCGCTTCGTCTTATACCCCTCCAATATACTTATTCATCGAAATCTTAATCGCAAAAGTTTAACAACTTTTGCAGTAAAAGTTTGTTTTAACTCCTAGTGAGCTGTGAGGGAACTATCTGGAGGGGACTACCTTTACTCTTATTGTGTAGATAGGTTTATCTTTATTTTCCATCCTTAAATGATTTTCGTCTTTAATAATTACAGTGGAGTTAATTGGAGTGTTTTAGGAGAAAAAGTACTAATAGAATCGGTATATAAGGGTATTTGCTGAAAATTGAGATTTTCTACCTAAATTTTGAATTTTACTTTGCTTTAGCTAGCCCCAAAAGGAATAGGAGAGAGTGCAGCCAAACCCTATGACACTAAAATTGCTTCATACATGTCGTTAATGCACCTAAATAATTGTGTAAATCTAACCTAAATTTTATTTCATTATTTACTAATTTCATTATCATACATTAATTTATGTTATTTTATATACAAGTACCATCTTCAGATGTTGATACAAATAAAATATGAATTAAATTACATAATTTTATACAAAATAATAATTTACATATATAAACACAATGTTAACAACAATAATAATATAGCGACCTCTTTATATATGGTTTCTTCAATTTGATATATTTGGTAATGTGTTGCTTGGCTTGACATATAAAATTTGTAGTAACAATATTAAACAAAACAAAGCAAAACAAAGAAAAGAAAAATCACAATAAATGAAACAAAAATAAGGAAGTTAAAATCCTGATGGAATAACAAACGGAACAAAATCATTTGTTTCATAATAAATGACTTTTTTACACGACACATCAATACGTATACCTACATCATATAAGCATATATGGATTTATATATGGTTATGTGTGTATAGGATGTGTGCATGTTACTTTCTCATTTTATATTTAATGTATGTAGAACAAGAAAAATGTAAATTATTTTAATAATTATTATAAAACAAAAAAAATTTTTTTATATATTTTCAAAAGTTCGTTCAGGTTGACACAATACTTAAAATATAAATTTAATTATAAAGGGAAATCCTGCTCTCTTTCTCCTATACGCAGGGAGTAAAATATGGAATGGGAATTATTTTAAAGAAAAAGATTATGATTTTATGGGTATTGTGGTATCTCTATATAGAGAAGATTAAAAATAATAATTTAGTAAAGAAATTTTCATAATAATTTCATAGATCAGTGATTATAAAATTCCAGAAATTGAAATTTATTCTCAATTCTTATATACGAGTAATTTTAAAGTTTGTAAAATTAAATTCAATAATTTCAGTTAGTATTAATTACTTTCTTAAGATATTCATAAAAGTACGATAATGGAAAATTATTAAATTACAAACAATTACGAATCCTATACGGCAAATGTAAATTAACTTCTATTGAATAGTTCTACACAGATAATAGCAAACGAGTATTAAGTGAATTTAATTGAAATTCTTACTAATTAAATAAACAAATCATTTTTACCTGCTCTTAAAGCTTCAACTGGCACTGATGGATATGGCATTGGATACGGGTATCCGTCACGTCTTAATGCTTTTGGTTTTCTTCTTGGACGATATTTGTAATCAGGATGCTCTTTCATATGCATTGCTCTACCAAAATAAAATCCAAATATAAATGATTAATAAGAAAAAACAAGTACTCACAATATATTATAAAATTTACCTAAGTCGTTTTGCCTCATCTATAAACGGTCGTTTTTCATCTTCTGTTAAAAGTTTCCACTCGGCACCTGAAAATAAAACAGAAAAGAAAAAAAAGTGATATAGGTTTTTATCTTACACATCATAATATAATGAAGGGGCTAGCTTGAACATTCTTAAAATTAATGAGATGCAGTAGGAAACGATACGCTCAGCTTATCATATGCATATGGTTGCCTTAAATTAAGTGATTAGTGAGGAAACAAACCACAATACTGAACTTTTTGCTACTTAATGTAAATAAATCACTTGGTTTTTACAGAACGAATCAGAAATGCAGAGTCTTGCCGGCAGAATTGCAAAAATAGCATAAACAGTATACTATAAACCGTTTCAAATTTGATCAACTTTCTCATTTTCGTGAATGACCCAATACGTAGAGGGGTGTCTTAGAAGGAGGACTCATGGAATTAAGCTAGTTGATTAATATAATTACCTTGACCTTTAACAGGTTTAAAGCCTTACTATTTCTTGTGAAAATTTATTATGTCATAAAATTATGATTGAATCGTTGAATGAAATGCATGAATCTTTTCTGTTTTATTTGTGTTTCGGAACAATAATACCATAATGAAAGTTAATAATCGTTATTTATCGTAAAATAATAACTTGTATACGATTACTTATTTTACGATAATAATCGTTTTTTTTTATAAAAGAGATTAACAATGCTTGTTTGACAAAATAATTCAATGGACAAAAATCATTTTATTTTCAGTAATTTTTGTAATAGGTAGGTAATCAACTAGTTACACATTGAGAATGTTTTTAGGACTGTTCGGGGACTGTTTGTATGCACCCATTTCATAAGTACACAGCGAAAAATAGAGTAACAAATCAAAAAATTCATTTTAAAATGCTCAAAAGCTTTTCGTCGTCCTCAATTTTTTTCTTTTATTTTTTTTTGTGTTTTTGGAAACAAAAAACCAAAAATTACGATAAACAACATGATGAAACAAAGGAAGACAAAAGATGTAACATATTTTTTGTTTTTGTTTTTGATGAAACGAATGAGAAAAGAAACAATGAAAAGAGAAAATGAATAAAAATGTCTTCTTGTGTTTTTTGTTTTGTTGTTGTTGTATTCCTGCTTATATTCTTTTGTGCAATCATTTTGAAAAACATTTCCTTTTAGGATTCTTTTCTTCATTTTTTTTATGTAAATGAAAACCGTTATATAGATAAAATAAAATAAAACAAAAAAAAATATATAAATGTGTACATTATTTAAAAGAGAAAAGAAAAGTCTCCTAACAAAAGAAGAGAGAATGTTACTTTCAATAATATAGAAAAAAAAAAATAAAAGAATGAGATAGAAAATTATTTTTCTATGGAAAAACTGAATGGATTTCCACAATAGTGAGTTTTTCCTTTTCCATTTATTCTATTCTTTTTTATTTTATTTAATTTTTTTTTTTAAATATTTTAAAAAGGATAAAAAATGAATCCAAAATATAAATTTAAATATAAAATAAAATAAAAAAAAAAATATGTACAATTTTGATCATCTATGTGTAGGGTAACGGGGGGCAATATCAAGTTTCATTTTAATTATTTTTTTTTCCCAGATTTCGTAAAAGATTTTCGAAAAAAATCTGTTAATTCCCGTGTACAAACGTTGATCGATTAAATGTTATCTGTTCGTCTTGCATCGGCTTATATATCGTATTGAGGATTTTGTCACGACGTATATAATATAACGTTGTCAATCATTAATGTTCTTGCTCAAAATTATACTTATATTTTTCAGTTTGATCGTCTTTTTTCAAATTACTCGTATGAGAACGGGATGAAATGGAATCTTGAAATCCGAGGCAGGTACATATTTTTGCTGTATATAGTTGGATATTGAAAATAAATAACATTTCCAAAATCAGCTTTAATGCAAATCTCACCACCAACGTTAAGATTTTTTCTTTTTTGAGGATTGGACTTTAGGTACAAAGCCTAGAATTTTCATTGTTAAAAGAGTACCAGAAATTTCAACAATTTTTGTTCAGTTTGATCTGTTTATAATAGGTTCTATGACACAATAGATTTCAAAAAAGTTCTTGAGCTCATTAATCACAAAAATCGGAATTTTAGGCAAAAAAAAATTTATATGGGAAAAATATTTGAGGAAAAATTTTTAAAATTTTGTTATTGAGTGCTAAGAGTGGTTTTTGATTTCTAATACCAGCCATTACGGTAGGTTCTCTTGTTTGATTTTGATAATTGCGCGGCTATCCATAGGCTTAACACATGTAACAAAAATTACGTTATTCTTACTGTTATATAAGATTTTGTACTGCAGTTACATAAAAATTTTTTAATATTTTTTAAAATATTTAATCAAAATTTAATTAAAATCAAGTTTCTCTTGATTTTTTGCTTTTGTATTTGCAATAAAACACAAATATTTTGTAATTTTTCACTTGATTTCACTTGATTGCCCAAAAAAATTGAATTTATTTATTTATTTTTTATATTTTTATAAAATGGAAAATTTTAATTGTAAAAATTTCATGTTTTACAATCGTAAAAAAAAAAAAAATTTTTTTTCCATTTCATTCTTTTCAAAAACAATAAAGAAAAAAAACTTTCAATTCAATTGCATTCAACTTTCATTCAAGTTACATTCAAATTTTATTCAGCTTCCATTTTCTCTTTTCAATTTTGAAACAATGAACTTTTTCTTGGAAAAACATGATGTAAGTTTTTTTTCTTGTCCTTTATTTAAGTTTTTTTTCTGTTTTTATTTTTATTTTGAAAGGAAAATGTTAGGTTTTTTTTTCTCTTTCTTTCTTTTTATTTAAATTTAAATAACATATGTAAAAAATGTAAAACAAAAACAGAAAACAAGTAAATAATAGAATCCTTTTATCCTTTTTATTTATTATTTACTTTTCTTTTATTTTATTTTTTTTTATTTTATTTATTTTTGTAATTTATATTACGATTGTTATATTTTCCAAGGATATGTTCTGAATTATATTAATATATACAACAAGTATATAAGGAAAAAGTACTTTCTGTTTATGTATTGTTTAATTCATAAAGAGCATAAAAGAAAGCAAAAAAAAAATGGAAAACAAAAACGAGAGAAAGAGATAAAGAACATTTTCTTATATAATAATTTAATACATAAATATGTATGTGTACAATATTAAATTAAAGAAAAACAAAATAAAAGAGAGAAAGAGTAAGAAATGAGAAAAAATAGAAGAAGAAGAAGAAGAAAAATAATAAAAAGTTTTTAAAAAATAATGAAATGAGTTCGCTTGAATTCCTGTTTAGGATTAATTTTTTTTTACATACATATACATACATATATGCATTGTAAATTTACATATATTATATAATATAAATATTGTATTAAATAATGTATTTAACAATAAAAACACACACACATGTAAACAAAAATATAGAAAATTTGGGCCAGAATAAAAATATTCCAGTTTTGTTGTTTTGCTTTTTTTTTTGTTTTATTTTAATGCAAAATGTAGAAATTTTTTTTTTTTAATATTGTTAAGTATATTTTTAAATTAAAATATTTTCCTGATGTATTTAACTCCATATATATATATATATATATAAATCTGTATATGTATGTATGGAAAATAATGTGAAGAATAATGTTATATAATGCATGGTTTTGGAACGCATTGTTTAAAATTTATGCCCTCATTTTAAAATATTTTTTGATTTTTTTTTTTTTTGTTAAATTTAAAATATTAAACTTGAAATTTAAATTTGACACATACTCGTAAGAATAATGAAAAATTTAAAATATTTTTGTAAAATAGTAAGAATAATTTCTTAATTAATTTTGTATGTATATAGTATACTCATATACTTAGTGTATTATGTGATTATATTATATTTATATCACAAGAATAACTTGATTCAGCAACAATGCTGCCATTTCAATCAATTTTTCAGTAGTATTTTGTTATGGAATATCAACACGGGAGAATTTCTCAACAAAAAACAATTAATTTATTAAATTTTTTAAATTAATACTTAACGGAGACAAGGCTACATAATAATAAAATAAAATATAAAATAGTAAATATCAAGTTTTTGTTTGAATTAATAAAAAAAAAAAAATTCGAAATTGAATATTTTTCGAACTCGAAATTTCTTTTAATTCGAATTCGATTTTTTTCGAATTTCGAAAAAAAAAATAGTTAAACAAATGAAAATTAATTATTTTAGAATTGCAAAGAAAGCTCCCTTCCGTCTGCGCGACGGTTATGTGGAAATAGATAATCAAGTGAATTATTTAGGGGTTAAAACCGGCTCGTATACGAATTTTTCTAGTTGATTGTGGAAAATTTTAAAAAGGATAGTAAAACAATATCAAAGTGGTAAAACAGGATCTGGCCAAGGGTGCAGCGGATATAGTATCGGTTCTTTAAGAAAGGTATCTCGATTTTAAACCCATGTTCAGTGCAATTATTTAAATTTACTTAGTATAAAATGTTAATATAAAAGTAATTACCCATATATCTATAGCATTCGATATTAAACACCAATAAAAATAAACAATAAATATTAATAGCCTTCAATATATGACATAAAAAAAGAAGAAAGGCAGGCTGGTTCCCGCATGGTCGAACTTGAATGGACTTCAAGTGGAGTAAGCGACAGAAAATGAAAACAACAGTAGGAATAAACATAACGTTGTCTTATTGCGTTTTTGTTTTCGATTCATTTACGAACATTGAAGTCCGGCAACACATCAACATTCAATGAGAACTATTATCAAATGTAAAAAGAAGAAAAACGGCGTATTTTGGACATATAATGCGTGGCGAAAAATACGTGCTTCTACAACTGATAGTTCAAGGGAGAATTGAAGGTAACAGAGGCATTGGAAAAAAACAGTTATCATGGTTGAGAAACATCAGGAATTGGACTGTCAATTCCAACATAGGCGACTTAATGCATGTGGCGACGAACCGTGAAGAGTACAATAACATCGTTGCAAGAATATAACAACAACAGCAATCGCCAACGACATATGACCGCTAACATCCAGAAGTGG